TATGGGTTTCTCGATTTGCATTTATTCGATGTTCCCGTTTTTGAGTTTTTCGATTTTTCAATGTTTTGATCGCTCAATTTCTCGATTTTTCAATTTTTCGATTTACTAATTTTTTTATCTTAAATTTTTAAATTTTTCAATTTTTTACTTTGCATTTTTCAATTTTGGACTATTTCGTTCTCTCAATTTTTCGATTTTTCGACTTCTCGACTTACCAATTTATTCATATTTCGATTTTCGATTTATGGGCTTCCATTTATTCGATGTTCCCGTTTTTTAATTTTTCGATTTCCTAATTTTTCCGAATTCTTCATTTATCGGATTTTTCAGTTTTTCGATTTTTTAAATTCTTCATTCGATTTCTCGGTTTTTTGACTTTTCGGTTTTAAAATTTTTTGACTTTTCGGTTTTTGGATTTCTCGATTGTTACAGTTTTTTATTTCTCTGTTTTATCAATACTTCAATTTTGTAAATTTTATCAATTTCTGGTTTTTTAAATTTTCCAATCGTTTAATTTTTCGATTTTTTTATTACTCCTTAATTTTTCGATTTTTTGACTTTTCGTATTTCAATTTTTCCTGAATTTTTCCGAATTCTTTGATCCGATTGTTCAATTTTTCGATTTTTCAAATTTTGGATTTCTCGATTTCTTGGTTTTCCGACTTTTCCGCTTTTCAATTTTAAAATGTTTCAATTTTATTTTTATTGATACTTCCATTTCTCGATTTTTCAATTTTTTCATATTTTAATTTTTCAATTTTTAGATTTTTTGATTCCTCGATTTTTCAATTTTTCAATTTTTCAGTTTTTCGATTTTTCAATTTTTCGGTTCATTTTCTCGATTTTTCAACTTTTCGATTTATCGATTTTTTTTAATCTTAAATTTTTAAATTTTTTAGTTTTTAATTTTAATTTTTTAGATTTTGGTCTATTTCGATCTCTCAATTATTCGATTTTTCGACTTCTCCACTTATCAATTTATCGGTCTTTCGATTTATGGGTTTTTCGAATTTCGATTTTTCGATATTCCCATTTTTCAATTTTTCGATTTTCTAATTTTTCCGAATATGTACTTCATTTATCTGATTTTTCAATTTTTCGATTTTTTAAATTTTGGTTGTCGAGATTTTTCGGTTTGTCGACTTTTCGAATTAAAAATTTTCCGATTTTTCGATTTTTACATTTCTCCATTTTTCAAATTTTCAATTTTTCAGTTTTTCGATACTTCAATTTGTGAATTTTACGAATTTCTGGATTTTTAAAATTTTTCAGTGTTTTAATTTTTCGATTTTTCGACTGCCCCTCAATTTGTCGATTTTTTCACTTTTCGTATTCCAATTTTTCGATGTCCTAATTTTTCCGAATTTTCCATTTATCCGATTTTCTAATTTTTCGATTTTTTAAATTTTGGACTTCTGGATTTCTCGGTTTTTCGACTTTTCGACTTTTCAATTTTAAAATTTTTCAATTTTTCGATTTTACTATTTTTCGATTCGATTTCTTAACATCTCGGTTTAAGATTTTTCGGTGTATCAATTTTCCGATTCTTAAAATTTTTGATATTTCGTTTTTCCAATTTTTCGGCTTTTAAATTCTTCTATTTTCCAGTTTTTCGATTTTTCAATTTTTCAGCTCAATTTCTGGATTCTTCAACTTTTCGATTTACTGATTTTTTTTATCTTAAATTTTTCAATTTTTCAATTTTTTAATTTGCATTTTTCAATTTTGAACTATTTCGATTTCTCAGTTTTCGATTTTTCAATTTTTCGACTTCTCGACTTATTAATTTATCGATCTTCCGATTTTTGATTTATGGGTTTTTCGATTTCCGTTTATTCGATGTTCCCATGTTTTGAATTTTTCGATTTCCTAATGTTTCGATTTTTAAAATTTTGAATGTCTCGATTTCTCAGTTTTTCGACTTTTCCGTTTTAAAATTTTTTGACTTTTCGGTTTTTGGATTTCTCAATTGTTCAAGTTTTTGATTTCTCAGTTTTTCAATACTTCAATTTTGTAAAATTTATCAATTTCTGTTTTTTTTAATTTTCCGATTTTTCGATTATTCCTTAATTTTTCGATTTTTTGGCTTTTCGTATTCCAATTTTTCGATGTCTTAATTTTTCCGAATTCTCCATTTATCCGATTTTTCAATTTTTCGATTTTTTAAATTTTGGATTTCTCGATTTCTTGTTTTTTCGACTTTTCCGCTTTTCAATTTTAAGATTGTTCAGTTTTTCGTTTTATTGATGCTTCCATTTCTCGATTTTTTAATTTTTTTCAGATTTTAATTTTTCAGTTTTTAGATATTTCGATTTCTCGATTTTTCAATTTTTTGATTTTACGATATTTCGATTCGATTTCTTGATATCTCGGTTTAAGATTTTTCCGTGTTTCATTTTTTGCGATTCTTAAATGTTTTCATATTTTGTTGTTTTCAATTTTTCGGTTGCTCATTTTATCGATTTTTCAACTTTTCGGTTTATCGATTTTTTAATCTTAAATTTTTCAATTTTTCAGTTCTTTAATTTTCATTTCTTCGATTTTGTTCTGTTTCAATCTCTTGGTTACCTATTCGATTTTTCGACTTCTCGACTTATCAATTAATGATATTTCGACTTCCAATTTTTCAATATTCCCATTTTTCAATTTTTCGTTTTCCTAATTTTACCGAATAGTTCATTTGTCTGATTTTTCAATTTACCGATTTTTTAAATTTTGGATTTTTCGATTTCTCGGTTTTTCGATTTTTCGACTTTTCGATTTTAAAATTATCCGACTTTTAGATCACTCGATTGTTCAAGTTTTCGATTTCTCAGTTTCCCAATACTTCAATTTTGTGAATTTTATCAATTTCTAGATTTTTTAAATTTTTGAATATTTTAATTTTCCAATTTTTCGATTGCTCCTCCATTTTTGATTTTTTGACTGTCGTATTTCAATTTTTCGATGTCCTAATTTTACCGAATTCTCCATTTATCCGATTTTTCAATTTTTCGATCGTTTAAATTTAGAATTTTTCGATTTCTCGATTTTTGATTCAATTTCTTGACATCTCAATTTTTCAATTTTTAAAATGTTTAGACTTTTCGATTTTTAAGTTTCTCGAATTTTCAAATCTTCCATTTCTCAATTTTTCAATACTTCAATTTTGTGAATTTTATCAATTTCTCGATTTTTTAAAATTTTTCAATATTTTAATTTTCCAATTTTTCGATTGCTCCTCCATTTTTTGATTTTTTGACTGTCGTTAGTTTTGGTTTTTTCAGTTTTTCGATTTTCAAAATTTTTTCATTTTTCAATTTGTCGATATTTCGATTTTTCAGTTTTTCGATTTCTCGAAATTATATTTCCCGTTGGTTTTTTGCTTTAAATATACAGGGTGACGAAAAAATTATATATATGTTCGATGATACATTGTTAAGAAGACTTTGAAGAATTTGAAAAAAAAAATGGTTAAAGAATCTCTGCACCAAACTTTTGAAAATATTAAACTGGTTTGGCAATTTTTATTGGTATTTTAGATTTTCAATTAAATCATATTAAAAAATCAGAATTATGAAATCAATTCTTTAGTTTTATAGTTTCGAAGTTAAATTACAAAATGTCGTCATACAGTTTTGATTTTTTTGCAAAAATCTGAATATCTCTGATAAAAACTTAAACAGATCAACATGATATTCATAATATGTACATATATAAAATTTGATCACAATCAACCTAGTAGTTTCGGAGATTATCTGTGTAATAATTAAAATGGGTGCAGACGGCAGACAGACAGCCAGACGGAAACTTACACTCGTTAATTAAAAATTACCTCGTTACATAATTTTTTCTGCGAAGTTGAATCACAGAAGTTCTGCTATACTTCGTCATTTCTGCTCTGTTCCATTCACAGTCCAATTTGTCTCCCTTCGAACCGATCCCTTTATCTAATCAGCCCCTAATTAAGCAACTGCGCTCACTAATTAAACGCTGATATCGTCACAAAGGCATTCTTAAATGAGCATAGATAAGCTTCTATTGTGCCAAAGGACCACCCCACGCGCCTAAGCCGCTTACGTCATCCCGCGATGACACTTTTTCACGAAGAAAATGACTTGATTGTATTTCTTCATGGCTGGGTTGTCTCAAATCGGTTTCGGGGAAGTGTTTGATGCACTCTAAAGCCAGCTCTAAGCAGATAACTCAGCATTATATTTGTTAAACATCGTCACTTTAAGCTGCGACGATTTGTCACGAAAGTAATGTAGGAAGTTTGCGCTTTTAAAAACGAAGCAGTTTGATGCTGTCACTCGAAAATGTTTGCTTACTTTACAGGTTAAAGTGACATTTAGTAAATAGAATAAAACACAACTATCCGTAAAGCACATATTTGCATAGGCTATTGACAATGGTCTAGTTGGCCATGCTTTTGTTTCTCTGTTGTTTTTGACAGCGCTTGTTTGATTTCTTGGGTCAACAAGGAGGGTACTGACAGGTAGTATGAAGCTGTGAAGTGAACGAATTCATCGAGGGGCAGCGAATTTCGTACCGAAAGATTTGCGCCCGTTTTCACGGGTAGGTGAGAGGTACCACCCGAGTACCGGAAAAAAATGGATCAACATTGCCGCGGAAACACTCAAAGGCTGTCGCAGATTTAGAACAAACAAGAAAAAACGCGCAACAGGTAGTACCGAATTTGACGCATTCATGTAAAAGTAGTACTTGATAACTATGATAACACACTCTAAATCATTATCTTTGACGTCGGTCTTGTAATGTGAAAGTCAATAATAGTCCGAATATAAAAAACGTCTAGACAACACACACCAGACGGTGTTGATTTTTCTGGTACCACCTTTTTAAGCCGAAGTCTGAAGCAATCTCAACCATAATTGTACATTTTAGTGTCCTTTCTATGTACACATCCTGAATTAATCACCGTTTCCTTAAAAATTGCATAAGGTGCAAAATCTATACTTAGTAGATTTAAATCCTCTAAAATAACTTACATACTTAGGAGTGACAAAAGTCAAATATTGAATCAAGAAAACGAACCAACGTGTCAGTTTTACCTCCAATTGTTCATAAGGTGGACGTTAATTAGTGGCGATGAAAGTTAAAGTATTTAAATATGTTCTATTTCATTCTCGTCCTGCTCTTAACCAACGTCTTTAGTACCAACGAAGAACCAGAAAGGTACGTCCAAACACCCCGATTATTTTAATTGCGACTAACACTGACATATTGACACTTCAATGTTTACCGGTCCAACCCTACTAAAGCACCTTAATGTCAACCTTTCCTCTGTAAATCGAACCAATCTCGAAAGAATCCCGTAAAAATCGACCTTCGAGCAAACATCACACCCAAGGAGACGTTTCCGGTTTCGTTATTCGGTCGTGCGGATGTTGGTTCAAGAAATTAGTACATCTTGGAATAAAACGTAAATTCAACTCCTTCCAGAGCGACTACTCCCAAATCCCGGAAAAAGTCTTTCGCGGCTTTGGTTTTCTCCAGTACCACCAACGTACCACCTTCACAAAAAGAATCATGTCAGTGGCTAAGACGGCTCAAACACCAGAGCAAGCAGTGCTGGAAACGTAGAGGGCTGGCGAAAATACTCCTTCATGCGAAGACCCAGTCGATTGAGCAGTGCCAGAGCCTGTTCAAGTAAGTTCAAAAATTTTGCTTTTTGGTTGGTTCGAGATTTTGATCTCCCGTTTTAGGTACGACCAGTGGAACTGCTCCAAACGCGACTTCTTTTTCAAAAAGTTGTACAGGGAAACCGCGTTCATGTACTCTTTGGCTTCTTCAGCAGTTGCGTACTCGGTGGCCAGAGCGTGTTCGGAAGGTCACTTGCCGGGTTGCAAGTGTGGCGATCCGGGAAAACTTCCAGAAGGTGCTAACTGGCAATGGGGTGGATGCAGTGACAACTCCAAGTTCGCCAAAAAGTTCACCAAGAAGTTTCTACAGATGAAGAAGAAAGGCGACGGACTTAACGCTATCGTCAGGTACAACACAGAAATTGGAATAAATGTGGCAACGGAGAACGAAGAACTCGACTGCAAGTGTCATGGCGTGTCAGGTAATTTTTCATGGTTGTACTTCATTGTCATTGTCTTGTTGTTCTGTTTCTTCATTGTTTTTCGCATCTTTAACCAAACGATACTGCATCTATTAGTAAGATTGAAAAAATGAGCTGTTGTTGTGACCTGGGATTTTGATTTTTGGTTCACCAAGAATCCCAGTTGACTAGAAAAAAACTATTCTAGAAGATTCTAAAAATCTTCTTGAAAAAAACTTAGAGAGTTAGATCAATTCTGACACTATTAAAATTTAAAAAAGAGATGAAGGAAGGGTCGACAACGGGAAATTGTCATGAAATTCGAGAACATATTCCAGATGAGAAAAGAACAAACTACTAGAACTTAATTTGTAAGTCCATAGAAGGTTCTATTCGCAAAGAAATTTACTTTTAGAAACTTTGATAGTGTGGAAACAAATCTGATACCAAAAAAGAGAGAATGCGGAAATATTCTGGATCAATCGAAAACAAAAAGCAATATGGAGAAGAATATAATCGAATCTGAAGAAATAAAAAGACAAGTAATCTAAGAAATTCTAGAAAATTTGAGTCCAAAAGAACAATTCTGTGATTTCTCTAATAATATAGAACAGTTGCATCTTTCTAAGACTTTCTAAAACTAAAACACTCCACGGAAGAATATTCAAAAAATGTTTTTAAATGCATGAAGATTTAGATCAACTTTGACACCAGTACACTGTTAAAATTCAAGAAGAACTTGTTTGGAACTCCATAGAAGGTTCCATCAGCAAAGAAATTTGCTCCTAGAAGCTTTGACAGTGTGTAATAGATGTGCTATAAAAAATGGGAGAAAGTGAAAATATTCTAGAACATTTGAAAACAAGAAGCAATATCTAGAAGAGTATAATCGAATCTGAGGGGAAAATAACAAATAATAATCTAAGAAATTCTAGAATTTCTGAGCCTAAAAGAACATTTATGTGATTTCTCTAACAATGTAGGTCAACCGTCAAATCACAGAAAAAGATTCTAAAAACTTTTTGAAACTCCATAGAAGGTTTATCCCCAACCAAGTTTATTGTTAGAAACTTTGACATTGTTGAATAGATCTACTATTAAGAAAAGGAAAATGTGGAAATATTCTAGAACATTCGAAAACAAGAAATAATATCCAGAAGAATATAATCGAATCTCAAGAGATGAGGAGGTAAATGATGTAACACATTCTAGAATGTCTGAGTGCAGAAGATATTTCTGTTCTATCTTCAGATCACAGTGAAAATTATAAAAAACCTTTTGAAACTTCATAAAAGGTTAATTCCCAAACAAGTTTCCTGTAGAAGTTTTAACGTTGTGGAATAGATCTGCTATATCAAGGAAAGTCGAATATCGAAGTATTCTAAAACAATCGAAAACAAGAATCAGAAGAATATGATCAAATTTGTAGAGATAAGAAGATAAATAATAATGTAAGAAACGATGATTTCTCCAACAAGGTTAAACAAATTTACCATTAAATCACAGAAAAAGATTCTCCATAGAAGGTTTGTTCTTAGAAATTTTGACATTGTTGAATAGATCTACTGTCAAGAAAAGTAGAATGTGGAAATTTTCGAATACATTCAAAAACAAGAAACAATATCCAGAAGAAGATAATTGAATCTGAAGAAATAAGAAGACAATTTAAGAAATTCTAGAACATCTCAGGCGAGACTCTAGGGCATTTCTGTGATTTCTATAATAATACAATAGAATAGAATTTTATCGCGTCCATAATATATAACAGTTCTAGCATCAAATTACAGAAAAGTATTCTAAAAGCGTTTGGCAACGCCATAAAAGATTCATTTCCAAAGAAGTTTTCTCTTAGAAATTTTGACAATGTGGAACAGATCTGCTGTCTAAAAAAGGAGAATGTGGAAATATTAGTCTGGAAGATTCGAAAACAAGAAACAATATCCAGAAGAATATAATCGAATCTCAAGAAATAAGAAGGCCGGTAAATAATCTAAGAAATTCTAGAATGTCCGAAACCAGAAGAACATTTCTGTTCTATCGGCAAATCATAGAAGAAAATTCTAGAAACCTTTTGAAACTCCATAGATGGTTCAATTTAAATAGAAGTTTGCTCTTAGAAACTTTGACGTTGTGGAATAGATCTGCTATCAAGAAAAGAAGAATCCGAGAGTATTCTAGAACATTCGAAAACAAGAGAGAATATTCAAAAGAGATAAAAAGGAAAATAATCAAAGACATTCTAAAGTACTTGATTACAAGGAAAATTTCTGTAATTTCTCTAACAATGTAAAGCAGTTCTACCATCAAATGAAGATTGAGAAAGAATTCTCTAAGTCTTGCTAAAACACTTTCTGAAGATATGAAGAATTATATCAATTTTGACATCAGTATACACTATACAAAATATAGGATAAGAAAGGGTTGACAATTTCCAGAACATAGTCCAGATGTGAAGGTGATTGTCTACAGGAACGCTATCTGGATCTCCATAGAAGGTTCCATTCGTAAAGAATTTTTCTCTTAGAAAGAATGCAGCAATGTTCTAGATCATTCGATAACAAGAAACAATATCCAAAAGAATATAATCAAATAGGAAGAGATAAAAAAGAAAAATAATCTAAAAAATTCTAGAATATTTGAGTCCAAAAGGACTTTTCTGTCATTTCCGTAACAATGGAGACCAGTTCTAAGTCAAATAGGAGATCGAGAAATCTTTTGAACACAATACATGAAGATTTAGATAAACTTTGACACCAATATACACAATAAGAAAAGGTTGACAATAGAAAATTGACATAAATTTCCAGAACATATTCTCGATATGAAGATGACAAGAACTCCATCTGGAACTCCATTGAAGGTTCCATTCGTAAAGAAATTTGCCTTAAGAAATTTGACAGTATGGAATAAATCTGTTTTTAAGAAAAGAAGACTCCGAGAATATTCTAGAACATTCTAAAACAGAAGAGAATATCCAGAAGAGATAAAAATAAAAATAATAATCTATGAAATTCTAAAATATTTGACTCTAAGGAACATTTCTGTGATTTCTCTAACAATGTAGAGCAAGTCTACCATCAAATGAGAGATCAAGAAAGGATTCTCTAGGAATTGCTAAAACACTCCTCAGAAGAACATTCTAAAAATCTCTGTGAAGATATGAAGAATTAGATCAATTTTGACATCGCTATACACTCTACAAGAAAGCGGATAAGAGAAGGTTGACAATTTCCAAAATATATTCCAGAGGTGAAGGTGACTGTCTCCAAGAAAACTATCTGGTACTCCATAGAAGGTTCCATTCATAAAGAATTTGTTTCCTAAAAACTTTGACAGTGTGGAATAGATCTGCTATTAAGACAAGAAGAATGCGACAATATTCTAGATCTTTCGAAAACGATAAACAAAAATAAATCTAAGAAATTCTAGGATATCTAAATCCAAAAGAACATTTCTGTCATTTCCCTAATAGTGTAGAGCAGTTCTACGTCAAATAGAAGATCGAGAAATCTTTTGAACACAATACATAAAGATTTAGATCAATTTTGACACCAATATACACAATAATAGGTTGACAATAGAAAATTGACATGAATTTCCAGAACATATTCCCGATATGAAGATGACAAGAACTCCATCTGGAACTCCATTGAAGGTTCCATTCGTAAAAAAATTTGTCTTTAAAAAAATAAACTAAAGGATTCTAACATATTTGACTACAAGGAATATTTCTGTGTTTTTTGTAATAATGTAGAGCAGTTCTACGGTCAAATTAAAGATCGAGAAAAAATTCTCTAAGAACTGCTAAAACACTCAATAGAAGAAAATTTTGAAGTCTGTTGAACATATGAAGAGTTAGATCAATTTTAACATCAGTAGACTATTATAATTCAAAACAGAGGGTAAAAAAGGATCATGAAGACAAGAGCGCCATCTGGAACTGGATAGAAGGTTCCATTCGTAAAAAAATGCCTTAATATTAATATAAAATAATTAATTATAATACATAGGATATTCTAGAACATTCGAAAACAAGAGTGAATATCCAGAAGTAATAAAAAGAAAATTAATCTAAGAAATTCTAAAATATTTGACACCAAGGAACATTTCTGTGATTTCCCTGACAATGTAGAGCAGTTCTGCGTCAAATAGAAGATCGAGAAATCTTTTGAACATAATATATGAAGATTTAGATGAATTTTGACACCAGTATACAATATTAAAGATCAATAAAGTTAATAAGAAAAGGTTGACAACGGGAGATTTTCATGAATTTCCGGAACATATTCCAGATATGAAGAGATATTGTCTACAAGAACTCCATCTGGAACTCCATAGAAGGTTCCATTCGAAAAGAAATTCACTCTAAAAAGCTTTGACACTGTAGAATATAGCTGCTATCAAGAAAAGAACATACGAAAGCAAGAAACAATATCCAGAAGAATACATATAACCGAATCTGAAGAGAAAAGAAGAAAAATAATGAAGGAAATCCTAAAGTAGACCAAAACATAATTTCTGTGATTTCCCTAACAATGTAGAGCAGTTTTACCGTCAAATAAAAAATCGATTGATGTAGAATTCCAAAGTTATTTCAGATACTGAAAAAGTTACAGAACAAAACATGCATTCTTAATCGATTGTTTAAAAAAAGTCGCTATAATTTATTTATTTATTTGCTTTAATCAGTAATTGGTAAAGAGTATTATTTATACTTGTCCTTAACAAAACTCCAGTATTAAAAAAAAAACTAAATATTTTAAAAGATAGTAAAAAAAAATATCTGATTAGACTTTGAAACTCCACTCACTAAAAAATATCTACAAAAACAAAAAATCCAAAATTTGTGCTTTCAGGTTCGTGCACCGTCCGAGTGTGCCAGAAAAAGCTCGACTTCAAGAAAATCGCCGCTCGCCTCAAAATCCTCTACCACAACGCCATCCTGGTGAAGCCCGGCAACACTATCCGAAGCTTCAAAGGCGACAAGAACGCCCAGAACCTCCTCTTCTTGGACAGTAGCCCGAACTTCTGCCTCAACACCGCCGGCCGGCAGTGCAACAGCACAGAAAACTGCGCCACGGTGTGCTGCGGAAGACGTCCGCACTCAACAGAGGTCACCATAAGGAACGACACCTGCGACTGCGTCTTCAAGTCGGAAAAATTCAACGTGGACTGCGAGCCCTGCATGCAGAAGAAAACCGTCCTGACATGCCCGTAATTTTTAAAATATATTGTGATACGTATTTTTATAGCTCTCTAACAGTATAGACAGGCTTTGTTGATTTCTAATCACTATAATTAATAATTAATCTATTTATATTCAGAGTTTGTGGTTAACACGTGTTAAATGTATGAATAAAAGTCGTTAGCACTGAGTTTAGTTGTACGTTGCCAACTCTAAACAAAGTAATTTTTGTCCTATAATTTATCAGTAATACACGGACAAATAATAAATTATGCAAGACAACAGTGACCTTCCATTATGGAAAAAATTATTTACGGGGTTGTTATTTGGTCTGAAAAATTTTCCAGTCGTTGTTTGTTGGTAATGACGATGATCGACTTCTCGACTACTCAGACAGTGAGAGTTTCGCTAAAATTTGTGTTGAGCGTTGGCCAATATTTGGGTTATTTTCCGGTTTTCTACACCCGCTTCGTTTGGAAATCATGGAAAGTACTTTTCAATTTAGTCGTTCTAAGTTGTACCATGGTATTTCACATAATAACCATTACATGGATTATCAAGCAAATTCGTACACCAGTGTCTTATCAAAAAATAGAAAGTCTAGCTCTTAGCGTCTTCTACGCCTATTCTGCTTTTTTACAATTCCACTTTGCTACAAAGTGGCCCAAAATTATGAAAGAGTGGTGGCAAATAGACAAAGCTATGAATAAAGTGTATGGGCACCCTAAACATTTAAAATCTCTAATAACAATAATGGCAACTCTTTTTCTCCTTCTGAACATTGGTAAATATTGACAATTTCAAAAATTAAATACCTAACTAAGCAATATTTTTCGAGTGGTCTATGTCACCAGAAGAGTAGCCAACTATACACAGTTTTGCGAAAATATGAATAGAACAGTGTCATTTGACAACTTTTTGGAATACAGCTATCCAAGTATATACTGGGTGATCCCCTACACTCCGGTCACAAGCATAGTTCTAACGATATTAGAAATCCAAGTCTCCGTATTGCCTGGATACACTGACGTTTTCCTCATCTCAGTTAGTATCGTTCTGGCACATCGTTTCCAACAAATAACCAAAACTCTAAAAGAAAATAAAACCGTTCTGTTCAAAGAGGTAACACAAACCCTACGTTGATCCTCTTCTTGATTCTTTTTTCAGGCAAACGCAAGCTTGTCCTTCTGGAGAAACATTAGAAAAGATTACTGCAAACTAAGCACTTTATTGTTCACTCTAGACGACCACATGTCTGCAATGATTATCGTTTCGTACGCCCGAAACTTCTTCTTTTTGTTACACTTCTTGACAATATTTTTGAGGTAGATTTCGTTTTAGTTTGGCTGAAGCTAAAGCAAATTTTCAGGGACACCGAAACTAACCCACTTGTCAAAACTTACAACTACCTTATGGCAACTGGTTTCGTTCTGAGGATGACCTGTCTGACTTTCACTTCGTCTTGGATCAACGAAGAGAGTCAAGAGCCGGTCATAATTTTGAACTCCGTGGAACCGGAAGAATATAATTCTGAAGTAGCGTTGTTTAATTGGTTGAAATTTTTAACTGAGTGTTACAGGTTTCGAGGTTGCTTCTTCAGTTGAGTTTCGATGAGGTGGCTTTGACGGGGTATAAGATGTTCAAGCTTAATAAGAAACTCTTGTTGAGTGTAAAACCTAGGTTGTGGATTTTTGCTTTGTTTGATGTGTGTGTTTTTAGGTTATAAGTGCAGTGGTGACTTATGAATTGATGATTATTCAATATAATAACAGCTACGTGGAGTTAACACAAAATTAAAAAATATAACAAATATATTTAATTATTTAATTATTATTTAATTGTTTAATTATTTATACTTTCCAAAATTTTTTCTAAAAAATAATTAAAATGTGTTCAACCGACTGAAAATTGGTCTTAAATTGTGGATAAGCTTCCGCTAATTACGAATTCAAAATCGCCGTTATGGGATTTATTCAAATAAACATGAAAAGTGTCTATAATTTTAAATTTTTTTTCCAAAAAAATATTAAAATGTGTTTAATCAACTGAGAATTGGTGTTAATTGGAGATAATCTTCCGCTGGCTACGAATCCGAAATCGTCATTACGACATCTGTTCAAATTAACGTGAAAAATAAGTTTATAATTTTCAAAATTTTTCCAAAAAAATTGTTAAAATGAGTTCAATCGATTGAAAATTGGCGTTAAATTATGGATAATCTTTCACCAATTACCAAATCCGAAATCGCCATCACGACATATATTCTAATAAATAGGAAAAATGAGCTTACAATTTTCAAAATTTTTCCAAAAAAATGATTAAAGTGAGTTCAATCGACTGGGAATTGGAGTCAAATTGTAGACAGTGTTCCGCTTATGACAAATCCGAAATCTCCATTACGATATCTATTCAAAGAAAAGTGAAAAATGAGTTTAAAATATTCAAAATTTTTCCAAAAAAAAAAATAAAATGAGTTCAATAGGTTGAAAATTGGCATTAAATTATAGATAATCTTTCACCAATTACCAAATCAGAAATCGCCATCACGACATAAATAAATAATAAATAGGAAAAACGAGCCTACAATTTTCAAAATTTTTCCAAAAAAAAAATTAAAATGGGTTCAATCGACTGGGAATTGAAGTCAAATTGTAGACAAGAAAAGTGAAAAATGAGTTTAAAATATTAAAAATTTTTCCAAAAAAAAAAAATGAGTTCAATAGGTTGAAAATTGGCGTTAAATTATAGATAATCTTTCACCAATTACCAAATCAGAAATCGCCATCACAATAATGTCATCAATTCTAATAAATAGGAAAAATGAGCTTCCAATTTTCAAAATGTTTCCAAAAAAAGGATTAAAATGGGTTCAATCGACAGAGAATTGGAGTCAAATTGTAGACAATCTTATGCTTTTGACAAATCTGAATTCTCCATTACGATATTTATTCAAAGAAAACTGAAAAATTAGTAAACAATTTTTAAAATTTTTCCAAAAAATAATTAAAATGGGCTCAATCCAGTGAGATTTGGTGTCAAATTAGTCGATAATTTTCCACCAATTGCCAAGCCGAAATCACCATCACGGCATCTATTTAAATAAACGTCAAAAATTTGTTCAAAATTTTCAAAATATTTCCAAAAAAATGGTTAGTTTGGCTTCAGTCGACTGAGAATTGGTGTCGACTTATAAATAATCTTCTGCCAATTACAAATCTAAAGCCGCTATTACGATATCTATTCAAATAAACATGAAAAGTGAGTTCATAATTTTCAAAATGTTTCCAAAAAATGTTTAAAATGAGTTAAATCGACTGAAAATTGGTCTCAAACCGTGGATAATCTTCCACGAATTACGAATCCAAAATCGCCATTAGGATATCTATTCAAATAAACATAAAAAGTGAGTCTATAATTTTCAAAATGTTTCCCAAAAATGGTTAAAATTGATTCAATCGACCGAAAATTGGTGTCAAATTGTTGATAATCTTCCGCTAGTTACAAATCTGAAATCGCCGTCACTATATCTGTTCCAATAAACAAGAAAGATGAAATCAAAGTTTTCAAAAATTCTCCAAAAAAATAGTTAAAATTGGTTCAATAAACTGAAACTGGTGTCAAATTGTGGATAATCTTCCGCTAGTGACAAATCTGAACTGGCCATCACAATATCTGTTCCAATAAACACGAAAAGTCAAAAATTTTCCAAAAAAATGGTTAAAATTAGGTCAATCGACCGAAAATCAGTGTCAAATTGTAAATAATCTTCCGCCAGTTACAAATCTGAAATCGCCGTGACGATATTTGTTCTAATGAATTGTTTTGAGATCAAAACTTTCAAAAATTTTACAAAAAATTGTTAAAATTGCTTCAATCGACCGAAAATTTGTGTTAAATTGTAGACAATCTTCAGCTAGTTACAAATCTAAAATCCCCATCACGATATCTGTTCCAATAAACACGAAAAGTGAGTTAAAAATTTTCCAAAAAAATGGTTAAAATGGGCTCAACCCAGTGATATTTGATGTCAAATTAGTAGATAATTTTCTACCAATTACAAATCCAAAACCACCATTACGGCATATGTTCAAAATAACCCGAAAAACAAGTTCAAAATTTTCAAAATTTTTCCAAAAAAAAAATGCTAAAATGGGTCAATCGACTAAAAATTGATCTCAAATTGTGGATAATATTCCGCTAATTACGAACCCAAAATCGCTGTTACGATATTTGTTCAAAAAGAAGTGAAAAATGAGTTTACAATTTTCAAAATTTTTTCAAAAAGAATAGTTAAAATGGGCTCAATCCAGTGAGATTTGGTGTCAAATTAGTAGATAATTTTCCACCAATTACAAATCCGAAATCATCATCACGGCATCAATTCAAATAAACATGAAATGTGAGTTTATAATTTTCAAAATTTTTCCAAAAAAATAGTTAAAATGAGTTCAATCGATTGAAAATTGGCGTTAAATTATAGATAATCTTTCACCAATTACCAAATCCGAAATCGTCATCACGACATATATTCTAATAAATAGGAAAAATGAGCTTACAATTTTCAAAATTTTTCCAAAAAAATGATTAAAATGAGTTCAATCGACTGGGAATTGGAGTCAAATTGTAGACAGTGTTCCGCTTATGACAAATCCGAAATCTCCATTACGATATCTATTCAAAGAAAAATGAAAAATGAGTTTAAAATTCTCAAAATTTTTCCAAAAAAAAAATTAAAATGAAAATCGACTGAAAATTGGCCTTAAATTATAGATAAACTTTCACCAATTACCAAATCAGAAATGGCCATCACGACATAAATAAATAATAAATAGGAAAAAGGAGCTTACAATTTTCAAAATTTTTCCAAAAAAAAAAATTAAAATGGGTTCAATCGACTGAGAATTGTAGTCAAATTGTAGACAATCCTCCGTTTACGACAAATCCGAAATCTCCACTGCGATATCTATTCAAAGAAAAGTGAAAAATGAGTTTAAAATATTCAAAATTTTCCAAAAAAAAAAAATAAAATGAGTTCAATAGGTGGAAAATTGGCATTAAATTATAGATAATCTTTCACCAATTACCAAATCAGAAATCGCCATCACGATAATATCATCAATTCTAATAAATAGGAAAAATGAGCTTACAATTTTCAAAATTTTTCCAAAAAAAGGTTTAAAATGGGTTCAATCGACAGAGAATTGGAGTCAAATTGTAGATAATTTTATGCTTATGATAAATCCGATTTCTCCATTACAATATTTATTCAAAGAAAACTGAAAAATTAGTAAACAATTTTTAAAATTTTTCCAAAAAATAATTAAAATGGGCTAAATCCAGTGAGATTTGGTGTCAAATTCGTCGATAATTTTCTACCAATTACCAAATCCGAAATCGCCATCACGACGTATATTCAAATAAATGTGAAAAATGAGCTTACAATTTTCAAAATTTTTCCAAAAAAATGCATTAAAATGGGCTGAAGCGACTGAGAATTGGAGCCAAATTATAGACAATTCTCTGCTTATCACAAATCCAAAACCTCCATTACGATATTTATTCAAAGAAAACTGAAAAATTAGTTTACAATTTTCAAAATTTTTCCAAAAAAATAGTCAAAATAGGTTCAATAAGATTTGTTGTCAAATTAATAGATAATTTTCCACCAATTGCCAATCCGAAATCACCATCACGGCATCTATTTAAATAAACGTGAAAAATATGTTCAAAATTTTCAAAATATTTCCAAAAAAATGGTTAGTTTGGCTTCAGTCGACTGAGAATTGGTGTCGACTTATAAATAATCTTCTGCCAATTATTACAAATCTAAAACCGCTATTACGATATCTATTCAAATAAACATGAAAAGTGAGTTAATAATTTTCAAAATGTTTCCAAAAAATGTTTAAAATGATGAGTTTAATCGACTGAAAATTGGTCTCAAACCGGGGATAATCTTCCACAAATTACGAATCCAAAATCGCCATTAGGATATCTATTCAAATAAACATAAAAAGTGAGTATATAATTTTCAAAATGTTTCCCAAAAATGGTTAAAATTGATTCAATCGACCGAAAATTGGTGTCAAATTGTTGATTATCTTCCGCTAGTTACAAATCTGAAATCGCCGTCACGATATCTGTTCCAATAAACAAGAAAGATGAAATCAAAATTTTCAAAAATTTTCAAAAAAAATAGTTAAAATTGGTTCAATAAACTGAAATTGGTGCAAAATTGTGGATAATCTTCCGCTAGTGACAAATCTGAACTGGCCATCACAATATCTGTTCCAATAAACACGAAAAGTCAAAAATTTTTCAAAAAAATGGTTAAAATTAAGTCAATCGACCGAAAATCAGCGTCAAATTGTAAATAATCTTCGGCCAGTTACAAATCTGAAATCGCCGTCACGATATTTGTTCTAATGAATTATTTTGAGATCAAAACTTTCAAAAATTTTCCAAAAAATTTTTAAAATTGCTTCAATCGACCGAAAATTTGTGTTAAATTGTAGACAATCTTCAGCTAGTTACAAATCTAAAATCCCCATCACGATATCTGTTCGAATAAACGCGAAAAGTGAGTTAAAAATTTTCCAAAAAAGTGGTTACAATTGGTTCAAACGACCGAAAATATGTGTCAAACTGTTGATAATGTTTGGGCAGTAACAAATCTGAACTCGCCGTCACGATATCTGTTCCAATAAACACGAAAATTGAAATCAAAATTTTCAAAAATTTTTCCAAAAAAATGGTTAAAATTGGTTAAATCGACCGAAAATTGGTGTCAAATTGTGTAACACTAACACAGGTTATTATACTTTCTCAAGGACTTATTGTGATGGGCTGATTTTTTGATTTATATTGTCTGACACCTTTATTGACAAGTTTATAAGATTAGAAAAACTGCAGTATAATAGTTTCGTTCAATTTATGATGTCTGGAAGATAACAAATGGTATTTAGATAAGAGGAAATGGTCAATGAAAATTTATTTGTTTCACAAAAAGATTCCCATGTGATTATTAAATACTTGTAGCTACTTTCGATTATCAAGATGATATGAAAAATAAATAGCGCTTGAATGTTTTTTCAAACTTATCCAACTTTCCAGATGACTCATGTAATACTAACCTACGACAACAAGCGAGTATTATTTTTTTGTAATCTACGTTGCAACGTCCAAATGATAAAAAAATTCTTGGACGTTTATCAGTTGTGACATTTTCACACAAAATTATAATATGAATGCCGTGTTTATGTTAAGATAAAATATTACAAATCATACTAAAAAAGCCAAGCTATAACTTTATTGAGAAATTTTAAACATTTTCCAGACTTTTATCATCTAGACAACAAACGTTTTTGAAATCCCTAATAAGAATAAACACTTAATTAAAAAAAAACAAAAACAATTTTTCAACATATAAAAACGGTTTACACTCAGTTCAGGCATTAAGTGAAGAATCACAATGACAGCAACAACAGTTCTAGTTTTTTTCGCCCTTTTGGCAGCTGCAATAGGTAATATTTTCATTAATAATTATACTAAATCGCTAATTTTAACTTAAAGCTACCCCGCTCGGTTTCAACTCCGGTGGACGAATCGTGGGGGGCTCGAACGCCACCACTGGTCAATATCCATTTATAGTTTCCCTCCGAACACCCTCCGATTCCCACAACTGTGGCGGATCTCTCATTAGAAACAACTGGGTGGTCACTGCAGCCCATTGTGTCTCTGGGTAAGTCAACCCTTACAAGACCCCCAATCCTCCAAATCAACAACCTTTTGCAGCTACCCCGTCAACTACTACACCGTAGTGGCCGGTATAACCCAGCTCAATTCACCCACTGGCATCAGACGAAAAGTCTCCCAAGTCATCGTCAACAGCGGCTGGAACTCCTGGACGATCGAAAACGACGTAGCAGTCATCCAACTGGACGAACCCCTAACCCTGTCACCCACAATACAGACCATCCAGCTGGACGTGAAGAACTTCGACGAGGAACGACCATGCACTGTGGTCGGATGGGGGAGACTTTCAGCTGGGGGGGTAATTCCCAACAACCTCCAATATCTGGAATCGTTGACCATTCCGCTGTCAAGGTGTAGATCTTTGTGGGGAAGCATTAACCCGGTTTTTGATAGTCAAGTTTGTACTTTAACCCGAAGTGGAGAAGGTGCTTGTAATGGGGATTCTGGAGGTCCTCTGATTTGTAATGAAGATGGAAGCGACAAGCTCTGTGGAATAGTTTCCTGGGGGTCCCCATGTGCCAGAGGCATGCCGGATGTTTTTACCAGAGTGTCTACTTATGCTGATTGGATCCAAAGCCAGATAGGAGATTAATCTGTTAAGACGTTCTATAAATCATTGCTTCGGCGAATTAGCTATTGTATTTAATATGATTAAAGGATAAATCTTTATAAGCATTATTAGAGAGTTTTTGTCAGTGGCGTGTACCTGAATTAAAATTAAGTAAAACGCAAGCAAAATAACTCTGTATAGATACGCCACTGCTTTCCATCCTGATTGCCGATTTCCTTATCTCAATTAGTTAATAACCCTCATAAAAAAATTAAAATTTAAGTTAATATAAAAGCATCCCGTTTTGCCAAAAACCACAAGTCAAATCAATATGATAAAAGAAACTGTACTGACGCTGTTCTTCATCGGAACTTGCCTAGGTAAGTCCAACCACCGCCGTGCCACCCCCTTGATAATCACATTTCAGCCGTCCCCGCCGACATCGGCTGGAGGGTCGTTGGCGGCTCCAACGCCAGCACCGGCCAATTCCCCTTCATCATCTCCCTGCGAACCATCACCGGCTCCCACACCTGCGGCGGCTCCCTCATCGCCAACAACTGGGTCATCACCGCCGCCCACTGCGTCGTCGGGTACACCCCCAACCCCACCGCCCCCACACCACTCACTCTTGTTTTTCAGAGGCTACCCCGCCTACTACAGCGTCGTCGCCGGAATCAACCAACTCAACTCCAACAGCGGAGTCAGCGCCAAAGTGGCCGACATCATCGTCCACCCCAACTACAACTCCAACCTCATCATCAACGACATCGCCCTGCTCCGTCTGTCCACCCCCATCCAGGAGTCGTCGCTTATCAAGATCATCCAGCTGGAGAAAAACGACAACGATAATGTGCAGGATGCCGTTTTGATTGGGTGGGGTAGAACGTCCTATCCTGGGAACATCCCCAACGACCTGCAGTACCTCCCCACGAGGACTACTACGTACGCTAGCTGCAAAAACTCGTGGCCCACTGAGACCATCGTGGAGACCGAGATCTGCGCGTTCACACAGGCTGGACAGGGGGCTTGCCATGGGGATTCTGGAGGTCCTTTGATCTCGGCGGAGAGTGGACAGCTGATTGGGTTGGTGTCCTGGGGGGCTCCGTGTGCTCTGGGAGCTCCTGATGTGTACACGAGAGTGTCGTCGTTTATTGACTGGGTTAAGGATAATTCGGGACTTGATCTTTGAGTCCGCGGACTGTTTGTGATTGGATAATAATTAAAATAAATGTTAATAGTTTATTTGGCTGGATTTTTATTGGTTGTTGGGGTTGTGAAAAAAAACAGGGTGAGCACGAACTTTGTCAAGGTCGCTACAGAGTCTTTTATAAGGAAGCAATAGCCCAGCCTACATACTCCCACTTCATTCCAGTGACTACTATTAATATTGTTCAGTCATTTATCAAAGTCCATGGTTAAGTACTAGTGGAAAATTTCATTTTTGAAAAAGTTGTTTAAAAATTCTCAAAAAAATCGTGGACATAGATCTCGACGTGCTGATTCCAAAAAAATAGCCTGTTTATTGTCACGGTGCAATATTTTGGAAATATTCGATGTGAAATTCGAAATTTTTCGAATTTCTAAAAATTTCGATATTTCAATGGACGATTCTGAAAAAATTGTTCAAGTAGTCGAAGAAATGAGGTCGAAATAGACTTCTGTGGACCCAAATCTATGAGAAAATGTGTTTAGTTTAATTTCTAAAATGGTGGAAAATGGGTCGAAATTGGCATAAAGGCAATTGGCATAGTGAAATTTTCATTTTTGAAAGAGTTGTTTAAAAATTCTTTAAAAGTTCAGGATTATAGATTTTGACGTGCTGTTTCCAAAAATATAGCGTGTTTATGGTCACGGAGCAATATTTTGGAAATATTCGTTGTGAAAATCGAAATTTTTGTAATTTCTACAAATTTCGATACTTCAATGGACGATTCTGGAAAAACTGTTCGAAAAATCTAACAAATGAGGCCAAAATTGATTCTGTGGATTAAAATCTACGAGAAAATGTGTTTAGTTAAATTTCGAAATCGATCGAAAATGAGTCGAAATTGGCAAAAATACACTCAAAAATTTCATTGTTGAAAAACTTGTTTAAAAATTCTTAAAAAATTCAGGGATATAGATCTCGACGTGCTGATTCCAAATATATAGCTTGTTTATGGTCCAATCCGATTTTTCAATTTGTTTGTTTCAGTATTTCCGATTTTTCAATGTTTCAATTTTTCCATGTTCCAACTTTCGAATCAAAAAATTAGAAAAATCGTAAAATAGTACAATCTAAAATGAAAAAAAGAAAAAATTAAAATGAAAATTTTTGAAAAATCTAAAAATTGGAAATCAAGAATTTGAACGATTGAAGAAACAAAAATTCGAAAAAACCAAATATATACATATTGTAAATCGAAATATTGAAAATTGAAAAAATCGGTAAATCGGATAATTAGACATCCGAAAATTGCAAAATTGAAAAATTTAAAATTTGTAGAATCCACGAATTGCAAAACGAAGATCGAAAATTGGAAAAATTGAATCAATGAAAAATTATAATTTCGAAAGAAACAATGAAAAAATCTGATCTCGAAAATCTGAACATTCTAGAAATTTTGAAAACTATGAAAATTCCCGATTTACAAAATTGTAGATATTCTAAAAATTCCAAAGTTTCCAAAAAGGCTCGACACATTCTAAAAATCTTAAAGTTTTCATAGACTAAAATTTGCGAATTGTAAAGACACCAAAGATGCTAAATAAAGTAAAGTTTTAGGTTTCAAATAGAAGAAACATCCAACAAAATCTTAAAAATTGTAAAGATCTTGGAAGTATTAATGTTCCTAGAAATTATAATAATTCTAAACTTTAAACATGTATTTCTAGTAATTCTGAAGTATCCAAATTTCCAAAGATTGTTAAGACTCTAAGGGCTCTGAAAACTCAAAGATTCTATAATTTGTAAAAAACGCGTGAAGAAAACAAAAATCCAAAAAATCTAAAAATGGTAAAAACCTGAAGAACGCTTTCTTTAACTTTTACAAATTCTATCAGAATTTGAAAGACCTAGAAATCTTGAAAACTGAGGAAAATGTTGAATTCTGGCATATCCGAAGACTGATATTATTACAACATTTAGAAAATCTGGAACTTCTGGAAATTTCAAAAATTTACTTAATTATAGAAGTTCTAAACATTTTGCTGAACTTGTGAAAATATTCCAAATACTGTGAAAATTCAAAGTTTTTACTAGCCCCGCCCACCCACCCTCTCTTTCCTTAACGGGTATCTCATTTGCCAAAATCAGTTTTATCTTAACAGGTAAAAGCCCCGCCCACCCGTCCTCTGTTCTCTTAGAGAGTATCTCATTGGCCAAAATCAGTCTTATCATGACAACTACTAGCCCCGCCCACCCACCCTCGCTATTCTTAGGCAGTATGTCATGTCAAAATTAGTTTTACCTTAGCATGTACAAATGACTAACTTTTACAAAAAAAATGAATGCTGGTTATTATGGTTATTGACCTAAAAAAAATAAAAGGTAGCCCTTAGTCAGCATCGTTACTAAAAAATCAGAAAGTAAACCGGAAGTTTTCACGCATTAGGTGCGTGCAGTGTTGCCAATTTTACTTTTATAAAATTGCGTTTTTTTCGTAATCTACATCATGAAAATGTTTTTATTATTTTTCTGGGACTTCCGAAACCTCTGTACATAACGTACTGAAGAGTTAATCCACCATTTTCCAGACACCCGGTATAACAGATGAAACATGTTTCTAAACATTTACTACTAGATTATATAAAACACCTTTAAAAAGATAAACAAGAATGAAACAATAATTTAGTTATCACCTGAAATATCGTAGAATTGTTGAGAAATTTTAAAACGACAATATTAAAAAAATCAATCAAAACAGACACACCTTGTTTACACCACAACATAATCCAGACTTTTATCACATAGATAACAAAACCTTTTACAAATCCATAACAAGCGCCAATTTCGAAAGAATAAACAATTAATTAAAAAACACAACAGAAAAACAATTTTTCAATATAAATATAGAAACGTCTCACACTCACTGGCAATCAGTGAATAATCACAATGACAGCTACAACAGTTCTGATCTTTCTTGTCTTTTGGTAGCTTCAATTGGTAATATTTTTGTTATAACGAATTACACTAAATCACTAATTTCAACTTTCAACAGGGGATGAAGTGTGGATGGCTTAAACGCTGTCACTGGTCAGTTTCATTTCTAATTTCTCTACAATTCCCACAAATGTTGATGATCTGCGTCTGCGGTTAACTAACCCCCAAATCCCCCAAATCAAAAATCATTTTCAGCTACCCCGTCACCTCCTATAATAGTGGCCTAAACCAAGACAATTCGTCCACCGGCGTCTGAAGAAAAATCCCCAAAGTCCTAGTCAACATCTCTTTCACCCGTTCTCCCATTCTTTGCTTCTTTCTTCCTTTCTTCTAATACTTCTTCCACTGTAACGTCATTCACTTTACAATTTATTTTCTAGTTTTTCTAATCTCCAACAACCTGGAATACTTGGAATCGTCGACCATTCCGTTGTCAAGCTGTAGATCTTTGTGGAAGGGCATACATTTTATCCCTGTAAGGCGTTTTCCTTGTTGTCCTTGTTTAGCCATTGCTGCATTTATTGTTCTTCTAGGGTCAAGTAATCATTTTGATTTCCACCTCATATCTCAATTAATTTCGCTACTATCATGTTATTCTTCCCTTCTTTTGACTGTTTTCTAGTCTGATCTCCACTTCTTCTGTATCTTTACAATGAAGTCTCTAATTTTTCTGCCACGATTCTATTTTCATCTGAATCAATCTTTTTGTACTTTTTTAACAATAATGTGAAATTTTCTTGCGTTTATGTCGGACGATTCTGAAAAAATTGTTCGAGTAGTCGAAGAAATGAGGTCGACATAGACTTCTGTGGACCAACATCTATGAGAAAATGTGTTTAGTTTAATTTCGAAAATGGTGGAAGATGGGTCGAAATTGGCGTAAAAGAAATTGGTATAGTGAAATTTTCATTTTTGAAAGGGTTGTTTAAAAATTCTTTAAAAATTCAGGGTTATAGATTTTGACGTGCTGTTTCCAAAAATATAGCGTGTTTATGGTCACGGAGCAATATTTTGGAAATATTCGGTGTGAAATTCGAAATTTTTGTAATTTATAAAAATTGGAAAAACTGTTCGAAGAATCTAATAAACGAGGCCGAAATTGACTTCTGTGGATCAAAATCTACGAGAAAATGTGTTTAGCTAAATTTCGAAATTGATCGAAAATGGGTCGAAATTGGTAGTGGGGTATACACATTGACAAATTTCATGTTTGAAAAAGTTGTTTAAAAATTCTCAAAAAAATCATGGGCATAGATCTCGACGTGCTGATTCCAAAAAAATAGCCTATTTATGGTCACGGTGCAATATTTTGGAAATATTCGATGTGAAATTCGAAATTTTTGGAATTTCTAAAAATTTCGATATTTCAATGGACGATTCTGAAAAAATTGTTCGAGTAGTCGAAGAAATGAGGTCGACATAGACTTCTGTGGACCAACATCTATGAGAAAATGTGTTTAGTTTAATTTCGAAAATGGTGGAAAATGGGTCGAAATTGGCGTAAAGGCATTTGGCATAGTGAAATTCTCATTTTTGAAAAAGTTGTTTAAATTTTTTTTAAAATTCAGGGATATAGATCTTAACGTGCTGTTTCCAAAAATATAGCGTGTTTATGGTCACGGAGCAATATTTTGGAAATATTCGGTGTGAAATTCGAAATTTTTGTAATTTCTAAAAATTGGAAAAACTGTTCGAAGAATCTAATAAACGAGACCGAAATTGACTTCTGTGGATCAAAATCTACGAGAAAATGTGTTTAGCTAAATTTCGAAATTGATCGAAAATGGGTCGAAATTGGTAGTGGGGTATACATATTGACAAATTTCATTTTTGAGAAAGTTGTTTTCAAAAATTCTCAAAAAAATCATGGACATAGATCTCGACGTGCTGATTCCAAAAAAATAGCCTGTTTATGGTCACGGTGCAATATTTCGGAAATATTCGATGGGAAATTCGAAATTTTTGGAATTTCAAAAAATTTCGATATTTCAATGGACGATTCTGAAAAAATTGTTCGAGTAGTCGAAGAAATGAGGTCGAAATAGACTTTTGTGGACAAAATCTACGAGAAAATGTGTTTAGTTTAATTTCGAAAATGGTG